CACAAGCGGAGGTGCTGAGAGCTTTACTGTGTACCGCTGGACATCATTAAGAACCCCTTAGCTAGATTTGTGATGGATACGGTTTTCAAACTTGGTCTGAACTTCACATTTTCCATTGCCAGTTTCCAGGTGGTTTACAGCAGCAGTATGCTAAAACATGCAAACTCCCAAGCATTCCATTTTAATTTGCTCTGTACTATTACATTGATAGTGTATGTTAAAGGTATGTTATTTGTATTGTTAGGCCTAGAGCACCAGTACACGTGGGCCATTTCAGTGATGTGGAGGCTATGGGTTGTGTAAACTACAGTACTGTGTATTCAGTCAAGAAAAAAAAACCTTTTTTTATGTTTGTTTTTTTTCTAATTTTGGATTGCAAGCACAGTACCTGCCTGTGGGTACCGTCAGACATTTTGCAATAGTGGTAAAAAGTACAAGGAAGGAAATGGCTGCATTTAGTTAACGTCTTTTTTTTTTTTTTCACTGAAGGGTGGTTCTACCAAGTCAACGTTATCTTATGGTTGGGAAGCTGCCACCCGGATGAAAAGTTGTGTAATGGCATGGTACAGCCAGTAGAGGGCGGGTGGTGAACAGGAAATCAAATAGAAACCTAGGAAAAAAACCGAAGATGACGAAAGATTAATCCAACACCATCCTTCACCTCCCTCAATTAAAACTCTACATTCTCATGCTTCTGTTTGGTGCATCTGGGATTCTTTTTCGTATTCTGGCACAGTAGATTTCTTCTGAAATCTAGGAAGATTTTAATTAGTGCTACATTATTGCTATACTGTAGTAGGGAAGCAGTCAGTCAAAAGCCAAATTACATTCATGATTTTTCTTAGATTTATTGGAATATCCTGCTTTTGAAATTGGGATGTGATCTTTTGTTGCCATCATTCTAGGACTCCCCGGTAAATGGGGTGTCTGAAAATGCGAAAGCCGAGGCAGATGGGACCCGGGATTTCATCTGCCACAGGTGGGGTTGCAGATCAAATGGGATTAAGTAGCTCAATAAAGCCGCAAGTGTCCAGGGCCTGGCTGAAGAATACAATTAAAATGCAGTGGGAAGGTTGTGGGTGTTGCTGTGAAGGAATACATCCTGAGGCAATGAAAGCAAACATTTTAAAGCATCAGCAAGCCTAACGGAACCTACGAATCGCTACAAATGAGAGAATCCTCTAGCACATCTACAATATTTCTTGGCTAATTGATCCAAGACCATCATCCAACTGCATCTCTTTAAAGAGCCATCTTATCAACTTTCAGACTCCCACAGTCCTTTTTGTAAAGTGGCCTTTGACTTCCTGTTTAAAGGCACATCCCTGCTGATTTCACTGGTACACACAATGCGTTTCTTCATGATTTCTGCTTGTGTCCCATGGTTCAAATGACACTCTTGATTTAGAAATTCCTTGGATTGACTTCATCAGTGACTTTGAATTAGGACTCTGGAACGCATTGGGTATCTTTTCTGTGGACTGATTCCAGAGCAGCAATATGATTTTTATAAGATGGTGAGAAAAATCATACGTGATATTATGAATGGCATCTTAGTGTTGCGTATGGTATTTCCCCATGGCAGAGTTCTTTCTAGCACTCTCTTGACCTTTAGAATCTGGTATTTAGATGCAAGCAAAAAGAAAGCAATTATGCGTGGTGACGATTTGATAGGAGAAACATAACCTACCACACTGAAAATACTGTGACTGTAACAATGGTATTGTTACACAGCAGAGAAAAAAAAAACGAGTTGCAGTTATAACACATTCTTTCACTTAAACATTGTTTTGAATTGAAAGATTTCCTTTCAGTCCTAATGTTTAGTTGGTAAGTGAACAACAGACATGAGTATAAATATTTATGAGTGGGATAATTATAACTTGCAAAGGTTTCACTGCTTTAATTTGGTTTAACTGTTTCTGCATGTACAATATATACACTGCATTATTGTGTGCAATTAATACATATTTTGCACTCATGGATAGAAAGTGGGAGCCCTGTGCTTTTTGTCTGTAACTACTTCTACACAGAGAAATCCATAGCAATCCTACTGTGCACATCTACATTCTTTGCTTTCTTTAACGCAGGCTCCACACATAACCCAGCAGCACATTTGACTGAAAAGCACATATTCCTCAATAACGGGCAATGAATGCACAAAGTACAGTAATTGTGACGTTTTAAGATATCATAACTGGATTATGGCGGAGCTTAATGTGCAGAGGATTAGAGGAAGGATGGACTGTTGAGGCCGAAGAAATGTGAAATGAGATCAGCTGAGGAGGTGTTCAAAGAGGATTAGGAGAGGACTCTTAATGTAGAGAAAGAAGATCTTGAATGATGTTCAGCCATTATAGTCAAAACCCTTAATTGCTGTAACATCTTTAGAGATGCTGGGCTGAACAGTGGTGTGTGCAAGGATAGAACTGGAGCTGATTGAGCCTAGGAGAGCAGACAGTCATGTGCTTAAGGGCATCCTGCAGCTGCAGGAAGATTGAAGTGAATGTTAAGATTGGAGGTGATAACTGCTACACCTCTGGGGTAAGGAAATAGCCAGACATTTTACCACAGTGGGTAGAATATCTCGGCTGTATATCTTAGGACACAGGACTTTAATCTGTTGTAACCACTGCATTACTGTTGTGCTCTGCTGTTAGAATTTTGTTAATGAAATTGCGAAAATTCTGTTCCCAAATACACAAAGGCTCAATTTATATTAGGGTAGTTTTGACTTGGGAATCCTATATTCGACATATTGCCGTCAGCAGTGACCTCCAATAAAAAGTGCTATGAATTTAAATTCAGGACAATTCACCAATATTAACATGAGTATTGTGAGCATTGATTTGAATATGCTGCTAGATAAGGGATTTGCAATGAGTTAATGAAGGGATTCCTATCGGGTGCAGACCTTTTTAGACAATGGGTGAATTATTTCCACATATTACTGCAGATCCCTGGATTCTACCACAGAGGCCACGGCTGCAGTATTGCAGCATGTTGTGTCTGTTTTGCTCCAGTGTCTTTTTCCACGGGTGGTGTAAAGGGTGTCTTAAAAAGTCAAAGTAGTTCATCAGAATAAATGAGCTGATTTGTAACTTTTCCTTTACTCCTGTAGTAAAAGTGAATGCACTGAATATTAGAAGGAACCAGATAACTTCCCATTTTTTATATGGAACATTACAGTACCTCTATCTTTTACTTAAGAGTAATTGGTACATCACTGATCATCAGAATCATCTTCTCTTCTGCCTGTGATTGCATGTCTGTCCTGTCATGGGACAAATGAAACGTTGCGCTTCATTAAAGAGAAAGTCCATGAGCATCAGAGACTGCTGCACACTTTCCTGTTACATTTATATCCTCTGTTACTCACTATAAAACAAACTAATTTATTATTCTCACCATTTCATGTCTTTGGTGAAGAAAAAGACATGTCTGCTGAGGAGATCAGCAGTACTTACTGCAAAACATACTGGAGCATCAGAGGAGTTAAATATACAGTGTTTTCTGTTTTCTCTGACAGGTGTTGCACTGCATTTTGGTAACCTAATTCAGATTTATGACACTAGAGGTCTGCCCTTTCCTTTTAGCAAAGCAACCAAAGAAAGTGGTTGCAAAGGAACAAGTAATAGGTTAATTCTATGCTGAAAAGAGAAGAAAAGAAACACAATGTTTCGGCTGTGGACCCTTCTTCGGGAAGAAAGTGGTTGTTGCCAGACGCTCATTCTAAGGGTTAAAGGGCCTGAAGAGCTTGATTGTACGATTGTGTCAGTTCTAACTCTTGCTAATTGAAACGGATCATTACATTGCTTGGCTAGGCTGTGTGTGACAATGCCCAGAAGCACTGCTTCCAAGCACTGGTGTGTGGTGAGTGGACTTCGTCTGGGAGATTTTCAGGTATATCTGAACGGCTTTTAAAGACTTGCTGATGTATTACATTAACCTTATAATCTCCAAATAGATGTTCAATGGTACACCATTTATATACTGTATATATAAAAATATGCACTGTCATTTATTTATTTAGCTTGGATTATATCACTAACCTCAGACCTAAACCTCCTAGTTCCTTTCGTAGCCCTGGTGGTGATCCCTGTGGAAAAACAGGAAATCAAAGCTGGGCCCTGCCGTGAACAATGCTGGCAGCTGCCGCCGTAGAAAAACGGCAGGAAAAAATCTCTTAGGTGGAATTAATCTCAGTCACACGAGTGAGGGTAAGAAGTGTCCATGAGCGCTCTCCCTGTGCGAAAGGCAAGCAGAGCCCCACATGGTTTTGTGTGCTATTGTTTCAAGAGAAACAAGCCAGCACAGGCAGCTGTCCGTGTCAGGACGATACAGAATGATCCTGCTGAGCTGAGATTTAAAAAATGGAAGGAGGTAGTAGTTCCTCGCAGAGGATATCTAGTCTGTCCTGTATATAGATTATTTATACTATACAGATATATCTGTATCCCATCATGATGCACACTTCTCAACAAAACTGCTTATTTTATTGTTTGCCTATTGCTCTTTGTCAAAATCGAAATGATTTATATTATTACTACAATGGACTGGCTTCCCTCCCAGAGTGTACCCTGTCTTGCGCCCATTGCTTGTCAGTTAAGGGAATGAATGGATGAATGTTACATATAATGAGAATCATATTATTACTATATTAAGTCATTCATTTATATAAGTAAAATGAGTTTAAAAATAAGGTTATTGTGTTAGATGTTGGATAGTGTATTGCTTTTGTATAGTTGAATCTTCTGAAATCCTGGGCGTGCTATACTACAGCACACTTTGTTTTCTGCATTACGAAGCTGTTGGACTTGGCAGACTATCTGGTACTTGTTTCGAATGTGATCCCCCCTGTATTCAGACTAACTTGCTTCGCTTCAGACAGCACCCTGCAGCTGACAAAGACTCAAAAGCCGTCGATCCATCAGGCGGCGCTGCCGAGTTGTACTCGACTACCCGGAAGTGATTGTGTTCCTAGGCGGGTGGTGCTGGATCAGCACTTCCGGAACTGCAGGAGCCTTTCACTGCTCAGGAGACAGAGCAAAAAGGGGGAAAAAAAAGCTTCAGGATAAAATACAAAAGCTTTAACACGCAGGGGTCTCAGCGCTTTCACGAGTGGCACCGATTAGGGGGATCGTGTTACTGAGTGGATCAAACCTAATCAACATCTGCGTGAAAGTAAGTCCGGATGATGATTTTCTTTCCTATCCCCCCTTTCACAGAAACAAATGACTATTATTAGCGATCTCAGTCTCGCCACTCTCCAGGAAATACATTTAATTAATGTTTCTGAAAATCGGGAGGGAGGTGGCATCGTGGACAAGTTCATACTTTGTTAAAAGATAATGCCAGTTAAAGGTGAAAGTTAAAGGAGGGCTGTTAAACATCTTTCGGTTTATCTCTTTTTCAAAAAAGACTTACCAATGAGATTATCACATTATTAATCATCCGATCGATCGAGGGGTGCTAGCAAAGCGTGTTTAGCTTTTGTCTGAAACCGTATCTTTATCTTTAAAAAAAAAATCGAATTTAATTACGAAAAGGCTATTTAAATTAGTTTGATCCGTTTAGAAGTCCAGACACGCAGTGAGGTACGTTGTGCGTACTCTCTGTTAACTGTTTGTTGAGTGTTTTTACAAAGCATTCTCTCCACTTTTGTGTCCGTGAAACCTTAAACCGTCAGATGTATCCAGAGTTCACTGTTGCCAGCAGAGCTCTACTGTTGCAGCTCTGGGCTGAGCTGTGAGCTTTGCGACGGGTGTCTCCTGCGTAGTCCGGTTCATGTTGAATTGTTGGCTTTGAGCTAGAAACAGCGCTGACACTGTAGTTGTCGGACACGATGGGTGCTTTCTTCAAGTTCCGAGTATGTGAACATACAGGATCACTTCGGGTTTCCCTTACCGGGTTCGCCACCATCGTTTCGCTGTGTGTACGGGGGCCTTTTCCTGGTCCGGAGCAAGTCCGAGCAGTACACCCGTCAGACTGCGCTGTGTGTCCGGATGAACTGAACGACACGACTGGGGTGGCAGCGCCAGGACACCCCAACCGCCTGTCGCGAGTACTGGGAAATGTCTTAACAGATCAGGGGGAAGACGCTTCCGCACATTCCTGTGCAGCCCAAGAAGGTTTCTTTTAATGATAATTTAATCACCACGATTAAATAATCAGACTTAATTAAGAAGCTCATTAAATCTGATAATTTAATTGGCAGCCTGTAAACTGACGAAGCAGCCTCACAGAGTGTACGTGTAGGCTCGTTGGTGACCCAGTAACCATTTGTCTGCACTGCTGCTGTGCTGTTAAGGTGTTAGGATCTGGTGTGATCTTTGGCCCGTATTATGCAAAAGCATGGGAGCTCTGTGCTACTTGTATGACACTCAGCTCATCTCTCTAGTCCCATGTGTTCTGGACTGTCGCATAGTGACTTCTGAAAGGTTTTTTTCTATTTGTACAGCCCTACCTCTAAGCTATAAGAATGAGAGTGTGTGTCACAGACCAAACACCTGTGACACACGATGTGCCCGTACGTACTCATTCGGATGTCATCTTTATTATTCCCTTAGACTGCTGATGTGTTCTGGGACCGTAAATGTTAATGAAACAGACGCTAAGCCAGCACTGACCACTGTGAAGTCAGTTTTCAGAGGTTTAGGGCAAGTTTGGATAACCGTGGCGAACACACTCCCACACTCCTCGCTTGTTCTCTTCGTAGTCAACAGTATTGCAGTGCCTGGATCGGTAATAATTGAGCTTATTCATGTAAAAGCCCTAATAAAACCATGGCGGTAATGTACTGCAAAAAAAAATCAACTCATGACAGTTTGAATCGGATTATTCATAACTGTAAATAGGTCCTGTGCTCCAAGCAGTGTATATAGTTACAAGCAATCCTCCAAACAATATGTACTGAATACAAGGTTCCGATGTGAACTGTTTATTTTAAGTTTTGGTGTATATTCATTATCCTACTGATTACAACTTTTGTGTTCTATCCCCCATCCGTTTTGTATCCTGTCTCATTTTCTGTTTGACTGGCATTGCAGAGCTGCTTGTGGGGAAGTAAAATGGTTAACATGGTCACCTTATGAAAGAAAAACAAAATATGCTTTTGTAAGTAATGACCTTTGCCTTTAAGCTGTGCATATTGTATCTTGATCTGGTCTCCCCATTATTAAGCAGTCTAAAATCTGTCACAGTCAGTTTGTGAAACAGCAGGCAACATCTGAGAAATGTGTCAAGTGGCTTTTTGTAGCTTTGTGATGTGTGAGCAAGTTGTAGCTCTATGTTGTATACATAGCAAATAGGTCATGGGATCTAGAAATCACTCCTTTTTGTGGCTTAAAGATTAAAAGAAAACTCCCTAGAGTGTTGTGCTTAAATACTGTGTTAACATTTGTTCCGAGCTCATGTGATTGTCTCGCCAGTTCAGAGTGGTGTCACAGTCCTAACTGTTGCCCAGTACTAGTGCAGGCTTTGGAAAAGAGATGGGAGGAATTCACAAGGCAGGATTGTGGAGACATTTGTTTGAGCTGGAAAAAAAAAGTTAACATACTGTGCCTGCAAACGGAGAGAAGTGTCTTATAGTCATCTGGTGAAGGGTTTTCTTTCGAAAATGTAAGTGCTAATTTCAAGTTCTGTACAGTGTCGTGGCTGGTAGACGACGAAATACTAATTCCACAGCGCAGATGAAAAGATCCTTACACAGCATGTACTTTTCTTGCTGTGAAATCCTCTTAGATGCTGAAGTGATTCCAAAATAGATGCATTCAAAATGTTTAAAAAGCATGCTTTGGAGATTGGATTAGTTCTTAGCTTCCCTTTAACGGCTGTGTTTTCTTTTTGGTCATGCTTTAGGGTGATGCACGCTTGTCATAAGGCACAATACAGCTGTTTTTTTTTCCCCTAAGGTGCTTTTTCAAGGCAGCTACAGTTGTGCTGCCTGCAGTATAATAAGCAGCACCAAGGTCACAGTGTGAAGTGTTGAGAAAGTGATGTTTATCAGTGTCTTCAATTCACTTTTCTCCTTTTGCTGGATTTGCCACCCATTCTGCATTGGTTCCCTTGCTGTAAGTCACTCGTGTCTTTTCCTTGCTTTGTTAGTCTTCTTAATTGGATAACTCTGTAACCGACTGTAACCTGCCTGCTTCTTGTGCAGAAATGGATCGCAGGGGTCCTATTCCTAGTACTCTCCCCTTAAGCGTGTCATCTTGTGTGCCCGCAGACACAGCGAGAGTGGAACTAGACTTGTTACTCAGCAGTTTTCCTTGTAAGCTTTGGGAGGTGAGCTCTGACATGAAAGGGGTGTAGGTGGGCATTCAAATATGTAGGACACCTCACAGAGGTGAGCATTTATTTTGAGCAAGATTCACTTCTGAGCTCCAAGGAGAAGACCAGGAACATAAACGCATTCAGTGATTGCTGATACATTTGCAATTTGAGTTCTTATTTGTTTCCAGCTGCGGGATGGTACACCTGTACAGCTTCTAAGCCATAGAGGCTTGCTTCTCGTGTCGATAATGTACCTGTGAGCTGCTGACCAGAGCTCGCCATCGCTAAGCTGTGGGCGGCTGGAGCGTGTGCACACCAAGTCACTCCAGTCAGGGGCACTGTCACCAGGGAAGCTCAAAGTGATTCAGATGTTTTTTTATGAAAATAAAAAAGAGCAATGCCCTTCTCCTGGCTGCATTTCTTATTTGCATTGCTCAGCTGTTGAGAGCTATGATCAACCTTTCTGCCAATAATACCAGTGCCTTCCATCTTCTTCCCACCCTCCCAATTCAGAAAAAAAGAAGTGTTTTGTTTTTGTTATGCTTCTTGCGGCTGATGGAACAAATGGAGTGTTTCCACTCCAGAATCAAGGATGGTGGTGCTTCTTCTCGTGCCTTATCGCATGGCGAAATCGTTTTGTTTTGAGAAACCGAAAAAGGGTACTGAGACTAATGTTTGTGTTTCAGGTAACTGCAAAAACCCATTGGAACTCCATGCTTTTTGTAGTACCTCAACTTTTCATACAATAATGCGAGCCTCTCGAGGTTTGTCAGATCCTGTCAGAATCTTTCATAAAACAGATTAATGGCTGACCACACTCTTGGAACTTCATTGCCTTGTGGCTGCTTCAGGTTTCTCCCAAGACATCCTCTAAATGAGTCTTATTAATGAGCGAGTCTGTCTGGCCCTTTGAAAGCAATATGTCTATGTTAGTTTGTCATGTTTGTGAACTGGTATCCTCTTGACAGAGGAGATTAAGTGATGCGTCACTATACAGTGCACGTGTTCAGTTTCCCACCTCTTCTGTCCTGCTTCAGGACTAGGTAGTGGCAAAGCATTTGGAATTAACCTTGAATGGTGTTGAGTGAATCTTTCACGTAGCCCATCAGATAGTATTTGGCTTGCGGTTTCCTGCTTGATCAATGGTTAGAGTAACCACGAATCTGTAATGTTGTGATCAGCAAAGTTTGAATTTTCCACCCGTCCATTTTCTAACTGCTTTTCCCAAGACAAGGTTGTGGGGGAGCCAGAGCCTATCCCAGAGCCTATCCCAGAGCCTATCCCAGAGCCTATCCCAGAGCCTATCCCAGAGCC